AGGCCTGGCAACTCCAAACACCACTTCAACCAGAAAGGCCACCTCTCTCCTCTCTTCCTGAGCTGAAACACCCCTTCCTGCAAGGCCAGTAGGGCCTGCTCCTCCAGAAGGCCTTCCCTGAGTGCCACCGCCCACACAAGCTCCACCTTCTCTGGGGGTCCATAGCCCACACAGCCTGCTCCTTTCACTCCACCCCTCAGTTGGATCATGCCCTTGGTGGCCACTTGGCTCTTTGAGTCCATTTCTTTGCCCAAACAACACATGCGCACTATACAGAGTACAGGGGAGTCTCCCTTCCTCCAGCCTGCCCTCACTGCCCTCTGCAGGTCTGGGCAGAGCAGTTGCTCCATAGAGATGTTTAATGGAGGTCTGGTGTTAGGGAGCCCAATGTAGATTTCAGCTCTCTTTTCAGCGTGGTCTCAACGTAACCTTGGAGTAATCCCTGCATTTTTCCCTTCTAGTTTTAAATCCCCAGCATCACCCAGTTTACACCAATCTGGCCCCCTCTGCATCCTGCCTTCTTCACTGCCTTTTCCCTTAAGGCTCCTACCCCCATCACAGATCCTCACAGGCAACTTGGATTGTTTTCTATTTTCTCCTATGCGGAACTCCTCAGGCCTGGAAGACATTTAACCATCTGTTGCCATTTGCTGTTCTGGGGCTTTTCACTGGGTATGACTTTGGTCTAACTAGACAGTGAGTTCTTTGCAGCCTTGTCCTTTCTTGGCTGCTTCCAGAGGGAAATCAGAAAGACTGGATGAATGCAGGAATGACTGAGTGGTGATGCCTCCAAGTCAAGCAGTGCAGCTCCGGGATGCCGAACTGCTGGGGGTCTTCTAAATTACGTGTTCAAAAGTGTCCGCCTAGGGCCCTGCAGCTCCCCTTCCTTAGAGCCCATATGAATACAGTGTTGACACCACTCCCCAAGTCAGCTTAGCCACTGGTATCTATAAACTATATCTTAAGCACCTACTGTGTGCCCACCACTACCAGAAGGGGTTGCAGAGGAGGAGGAGAGACCAGATTACTGGGTCCTTGCCCTCCATGAGTTCACAATTGAGGTGGAAAGAGAAGATTCACAGGCAAGAGAGACAAAGCAGGCCTGAGGTTGTGTGGCCATGGCCAGGGCTGCTGGTTCAGTGGGTGTCAGAGAGAAGAGAGTGACCAGCGACAAGTGGCTCAGCTGAAGGGAAGCTGAGCCCAAAGAGGGCTCCCTCCCCCATTTGAGGAACAAGAGAAGCAAAGGGAAGCGAAGGAGCAGGAGGTATTGGCAAGGCCTGAGTAAGTAGCCCACCTGAACCTAATCCCCACAAGACTTTCTAACACCCCCAAAGATGAATCAGCAGCAAACTGTAAACACCAAGCCCAGAGAGAAAACGAGAAGCAATTGTTCCCAGCCCTACTTCCATTTGCCAGCATTCTCCCTCTCTCTCAGTGGATGAAATAATTGTGGCTATGAAGTGGCACTTGGAGGGAAAGTTTTAAATCTGCTTAAATGTCACAGTGAGTAATACTTTGCCCCATCTTTCTCTAATTACATTTCTCTTTGATGATCTAAGGTTAAAAAAAAAATTTAACTCAAGTCTTCCTAGAATATCAAGGGTGAGGATACCAAAGAGCCAACCTAATCATGTTCCATACTATTTTCTCAGGCGTCCTGCTCTTTTATTGCATTAGTCTGAGAAACCTGTCTGTGTTATTGTATCCCCAACACTCTGCTATAGAGGAGAGGTAGGAGCCTAAAAGATCCAGCTCTGCACCTTTAAGAGATTGATGCCTCAACAGAAGCTGCTTCTGCTGCTGTTTACACTGGGTAGCTCAGTTAAACAGGACTTAGTGTCCTGGGGCAGGAGCTGGGAGGGAGGACATTTCACCATATACTGCCAGAAAGATGAGAGGTGAGGGTTGTGCCACCTGCTAAGGGGAGATAACCCAAATCCAAAATAAGCCATCATCGGGTGGGAGAGAGGGGAGGGTGGGGATCTCTAAGGAAGAAGGAATTCTCCACAGCTTTGAGGCCACCGGTGGAGAGACACCGGGAGGGGCCGTGGTGCACAGGGCAGAGGAGCAGTCCTGGAGGGAAGTGACACTGCACAGAATGAAGGAGTCTTCATAGCATCTGAAACAGCCAGTGCCCCCTTTCATTAACAAGCCCACTCCCCGGCTCACTCCTGCCCAATGATTGCTTTTATTTATGTATTGACTAGTATTAGTAACATGAATAATTAACCCCCTGTGAATAATTTACTTGGACCTAGGGGTGTCTTGGGTGGTGGCAGGAAGAGGACGGTGAACTTTAGTGACTCTCCCCTGAGCAGTTCCCTTCTTTTCCAGCTGCCCCTAGCTGGCCCCTTTCCCTTTCCGATGTCCGGGTTTTGCTTTCAGGGGTTGAAGGGCAAGGAGAGAAAATAGACCTCGAGCAGGAATTTACTCTCCTAAACTCCCCTGTGATGGCAGAAAATACACGCCACTCAGGTGTAGGATCCTGGGTGCCATGCACCAGCACCACAGGATGATGTTGGAGGAGATATCTTGGACAGTTAATAGCCTCTGCTGATGTGTCCTAGGGGACAGGAAGAAGGAGGTCTCAACCTGGTAGGGACACACACACTTATGCAGTGTGGATACACGCAGGGTCCGTGCACAGACCCATGCTGCATTCACACAAGCAGGCACACACGGCCAAACCACATACACACAAACTCTCCAAGTGCTTAGCAGGGACATGCACCCCTTATGAGGGCACTTCAAAGGCACACCAAATAAACAACCACCTCATGGCAGAGGCTCTATATGTGAGTTTCTGTTCGAGTCCATCTACTGGGTCGATTCTTAGACCAGCATATAACACCGGATAACGTAAGCCCGGGAAACCAAGTGACGAATTAACTATACTTACACCCGATTCCAGCAAGCAAAGGCAGGAGAAGCTAAAATGAAAGGATGAAGTTCCACAGTTCTAAAAATCATACTTGCTCTTTGGTTTGGCCCCGGGATCCTCAGAGAGAGGTGTCCTGGACGGACTCGGGGCCTGGGGCTGCGAACCTCGGGCCTCCGGGCCTCCTCCGGCGCTGGAGAGCTCGTATTGTGCTTGTAGCAAATGGGGTTGGCCTGAGTTTTCAGGCAGCTGGGGTCTCATTTCTTTAATTAAAATTGCAGACAAATCCTCTAGTAACGTAATGTAATCCGAGGGCAAAAAAAGAGAAACCCTGAAACCCCAAAGTGGCCAGTCGAGGGCCGGCGGGGGTTAGGCCAGCCGCTCCGCCCCGCCGCCCCAGCTCCCAGCCCCGCAGCCCGCGGGGGAGAGGGCGCGTTAATTTGCCAGGCTTCTGAAGCGAAGAGGCTGCCCTGAAAAAGCAAACGTGAGAGAGGACGGGGTGCAGGTAAATATCATTAACGTGAAAATCTGCTACCCCGGCCAAGTTCACCACCAGTATTCACCCCCAGAGGCGGGGCTGCTCGGACCCTGCTCCCGGCTCCGCGCCTGCCACTCCCTCTCCCGCGCAGCCGAGGTGCCAACCCCAGCGGGCCTGGCGGGGAGTCCGGCGGGGTCCGGACCGGGCGGCTGGACCCCCGGTCCCCACGGCAGGAGCCACTCCGCCTTGCACCTCGGGAGCTGTAGGTGCCTAAAACGAAACCCGCGGGGGCAGCGCACGCCGCGCGAGTCCCGGTGCGGCGGCAACCCAGATAGCGATTCGGGGGCTTTATTCTTTTGATGGTGATTTAAAAATATATATTCTATTTGAACCCGTAAAGCAGACGAGGGCAAATCAAGCCGTCCCCCGCGCCGGCTCACCGGCCACCGCGCCCAGCGCCTTCCTCCCC